TGTGTGTGTGTGTGTGTGTGTGTGTGTGTGTGTGTGTGTGTGTGTGTGTGTGTGTGTGTGTGTGTGTTTCCATTCTGGAAACTAACAAACTAACAAATAAAATTAAAATATAAATTAACTAGAAAATACAAAATTATAATAACGCTAAATTGCAAGTCTCGATCAGTTGTGCCAGAAAAAATGTGCCGGAAGAAGCAGACGCACTGCCTGTTTTCCTGTCGGAAAAAGCTGCCCGTCTGCAGTTAACCATGTTTATATTCTGGTGACAGTCACTTTCGCTAACTCTAAAGTCTAGCTGCACTGAACACATGGTGTATGCAGACTGTTCATGCAGTGCATTTGACGCAAAATGAATGCTTCTTATTGGTTTTGCCTGCAGCACATTGTGCAGAACAACTGCCAAAACAAGATGAACTTTTATTTTAATGGGTGATCTTGTGTCTTCAGTTATTCCATTCATGTAATATAAGGAAGTCATCATCCATAGAGCAGTTCTCATAGACTTCAGCCTGTTTTAGCTGGTGCTGACAAAAAAAATGCTAGAGTCAATGCCTGTATACCAAATCTTTAACTGAAACACAAAGCTGTTATTATCCATTTGTCTATAAAAAGAAATCAAACACCTAAAAAGATCAAGGGCAAACACAAGCTTTCACTGACAGTGATTTCTTTAAGCCCTTAGAAGTTATTCTAGGCTTGTCTTATGCCTCACTGAGCATTCGGTGTTGTGGTTTTGGAATCCTCTTAGCTGTCGGCCACATCTATGGAGAACAGAAACTTGTATTGTCAGTTGTGGAAAATGTGACTGTTACCATCTAATCTGAGACTCTGTAACCTTTTCCAGGTTTATTCAAATACAAAATTCTAGATTATGAGCCTCCTGAGATGTTTTCATATTGTTGTTCACTTTGATGAAAAATGTGACCATATATATGGGTTCAGTCTCAAGTCAGCCATCTCCAGAACCATCTCCAATTTGTATAAAAATGTTATTGCTATTTTACTGCATGGAAAACATTTGAATTCATGATACCATGTTGCTTTTGCAACATTCAAGTTGCAGATTGAATGCAGACAGAAATAGATGAGTTTCCACAGTGAGCACACACAGAGCCATTAGCACAGAGTGTGGTGCTGTTTGAACATGTGCAGGCTGTATAGCTGCTGTTCTTTTGCAAACAAACACAGATGCAGTTTTCACATCACTATACAGTAGGTAGAGCATATCTCTTGGGCTGCGACCCATTTTATGGCCTGAATGCTGCATTTTAAAAACATACAGAAAAGACTGCCACTTATTCTTCTGATGGCATAACATGATCCTGGAAATGTGTCTGAGGGGTGCAGAGATATCTGATATGTGGAGGGGAGACAGTCTATGCCTTTAATTTGGTGATTAATGGTCCTTCCACAAAAGTCATAAGTTTAGCATTTTCTGCACACTTTCATCCCATGACTACTGCCACTGTTAAATGTCGATTAATAGATTTATTATTTATTCTTTCTGGATCGACAGAGACAGTAATAGAGTGATAAAAGTAAAAACTTTTGACACAAACTTTTGTTGTTGAAAAAAGAGTGCCATTAGAAATGTTGGTTCACCAATAATAAATAATTTGGGTCCCATGCTATATGATTAGCCTTCCACCTCTAGTTATAAATGATTGTGGCTCATTGTTAAAGAATTTTAATCATCAACTTTGCGGGTCTGTGTCAATTAATTAATTTTTGTCCAGATGTGTTCAGCCATTTTTACCAGTGAAGGGAGTATTTTAACCTAGAAAGTCAAATATTATTTTTAATAACTGCTTTCTAAAACATTATTGAATGCAAATTCAGCAATGTTTAGTAAAGCTATTAGTTTACACCTACACGTCTCATTAAAGTTGCCTTAAAAATATTAATATAGCCATATCAGGCTACGCTCCTTAACACCATTCAAAAGAAACAGAAATTCTAGTGTTAGTTTTTTTGTTTCGTTTTTTTGTGTTGTGCCCTTGTAGCCTTTGTTGTGTTGCAGCAGGTGCTGACTTATATGAGAAGTCCTACTAGATCTGATCAACATTTGCACACATGCAGTTAAAGCTGGAAAGAAATTAGGGTAAGCCTTCGTCTGTACTTACCATACTGTCATAATGTATCAGCTCCAGCTCATAGTCAGGCAGGATGTCTGTCCTATTATTCACCAAGTCCAGGGCCATCTGAGCAGCGGGGAGGCAGGCTTGTCCACCAGGCCAGCCTCCACTCATGGGAAACAGGGCTCCAATGTAGAGCTTCTTCTTGCCTAGAGCCGGGCAGGAGCAGGATAGAACAGTAAGGATAAAGGTCAGAGAGTAGCGGGAGACCGGCCTACGGGGGAGGTTTTGGCAAAGCCTTTTCATAGCTGGGGGATGCTGAAGGTTGAGCGAAGCTTGGAGTCAGTGTATTCCTTCTATACACTTTTCGGCTTGGAGGGAGCAAGGTGGTATTGCGTGTGGCTCGTGAAGAATGCAATTCTATGAATGAGCACACGCTGGTGTTCCTGAGAGAAGAGAGCCCATTTGCAATTCTGTGTTATTTACATAATTTTAATGTGATCGTAAGCTTTTTGCAACCGACAAACAATTCAAATCAACGCAGATGACTGTCATCAAGCTCTTCTCCCGTTACATTAAAACTAGGAAACCTATCATCGCTTGTGTTTGGAACAGAACTTGTAAACACGCAGCTTCAACGCTTTTATAAAGTACTCTGTCCACAGGTACAACGATCTCCATCAAACTTATTAAATGCAGCTGGTAAACCGGGGGGACAATTCATTGGCAGAAAGCAGCTTTAAAGTTGCTGGAGTTGAATAGAAGGTTGAGATTGGTGACTGAATCAGGCTTCAGGCTCTTTCCACCGTCTAAGGTACCGAAAGTGTCGGAGGCTGCCTGGATTTCAGCTTCTCTCTGTTTCCAGGAGATAACCGATTGCTGTAACGATGCTTTCCTTTTTCTGCTTATGAAAAATTGAGAACCATCCACACCGAGCCCACGAAGACACGCGGAGATTTAATTTGTCCTCTCCGTCATTTATCTGCCCTTCTCCATCTTATCCGCCTACATCCATAGCCTACTCACGGATCTCCAGTCCAAAGCCTTATTAGCACGTTTTAAACATGTTGTACACAGACCACACCATACAAATGAAAAAGCCTGGCTTTCAGTAATCCAATAGGAGAACGGTCGACTAGACAGCAAGGTCGATCTTCAGATGAAAAAGTGGCCTCGGTGTTGCTGGAATGCAGTCGGCCGCTCGGGAGAGAGCCGAGAAAAATGACGGGAGCTGCTGAGCCCGCTGTGGCTGACTGCAGCAGCGTGCGAGAGCGGAGAGAGAGAGGAGGAGGATGCTTCGTCCCTCCGTTTCACAAACCACTTTACAATCCCTTTACACAGCCCCGAGCATTTATCTTTCCTCCGATAAGAACCTCTCCCCCCAGTCTTTACACTCCCTGCCACACCTCAGACTTGCTGAATAAACGTTAATTACCCGTCACAGGAACGCCACCGCGTGGACCGTAGGTTTTTAGCGACACTCCACCTTCCCGAAAGAATCTCTTATTACTCTCTCGTGCGTTTGCCGATCACAATTACAATACCAACTGTATTCTCGCCAACATGGAAAAACATCATTAAGATTAGAATGGCTAAAACTGTCCTCTGAAATTCATTCAGTCATGTCAGTTCAGTCATGAAAAGGGCAGGATCGGATTTACACAGTACATGTACATTTTAGCCCCCCACCCTGCTGAGGGAAACCTCCGACCCTACTGGTCTTATGACTCTCTTGTATTTAAGCTAAATATGGCAAGAGGTAACAGATACATAACCTTGATCTCAGGTACCATGCACGTACATACATGAGTGTTATTCCATTTTTCTCCATAAAATGTGACCAGTTTGACTGAGGAAGATACAATATTTATACATACTGTAGTATAGTGGTTCCTTAGTGTAGTGTTTTACACATTTTCATGAAAAGCAAACCCGGTTTCATTCTACAAATCCCTTTGGGGTTACATCATTTAGGGCATCCAGTGTAAACAAAACAAAACAAAAACAAAAAATTGCTTTAATTAATTTGTTATTAACAACAATATAAAATTATGCACAAAAGGAATTACTATTTTTTTTAAAAATGTGGTTTTATTTATATATGTTTATATATAAATATATACGGTGGCCCCTAGAAACAAAGCACGTACAAACTCCAAAACACATTTCTAGCATGTAACTGAACTTCCAAAACAGAGCTACCTAGATCACTTAAATTACACAATTGAAAGCATATGTGTATTGTTTGTGTATTTATACACAAGCACTCATATATATTCAAATAATAAAAAAAAAAGTTCATTTACCTGTTACTACCACACACCAAATCGGTCGTTGGTACTTCCTGGCTTGTGTAGCCACTAGGTAACAAAAGCTCAACACTGCGCCTAGCATCCTGGAGCACTTCTGTTGTGTTTGTACGTGTTTTGGAGTTTGTACGTGCTTTGTCTCTAGGGGCCACCGTAAATATACTTTTATTTATTCACTCCACATAAAATGTAATAAATAAATCATATAATACAAAAACCAACTATTCACATTTCAACTTTTAACTATTTAAATTTTCAGCTTTTTCCTTTTAAACAAATTTAAAGTGAAACAACACAAAACACTGCAAACCACAACACAATTAAATATAAATTAAAATATGAAAACAAAAAGAAGATGCACATTCTCTGTCATATGGGCCTGCATGAATAAACTTTCTGAATCCTTTATCATCCCAACTGAAAATAGTTGTGGATGATTACTATACCTTTCTAATGTGACGTTGTTGTCCCTGGCTCTCTTTCTCTCTCTCTCCCTCCCGCTCTGTTCCTGTGCTACTGCAGTGTAACTACCGCCCCTCCCCCCTCTGCTCAGCGCACAGCACAAGGCTCACGTGCGGAGTGAAGCGGAAAAAAAGTGTGAGAGAGAGGGTGAGAGAAAGGAAAAAAAACCCATGGCTCCCAATCCGGTTGTTCAGTCTGACGTCACTAGCCGTGTCTGGACCTAAACTCCGCTGCAGGTCCATATATCAAACGATCACTATGGCATTACTGAGAGTTGAAAAACTGTCTAAAGTCTTTCATCTTTAATAAAATGATCAGCGTTCTGCTCTACCAGGTGTAACAATTGAGTTTAACATCCAGGCATCCATGAAAACGGAATTTATGACATTTAACGGAGTTAGAAGTTAGCAGGGAGTTAGCTCGCTAGCTTCTATCTAAATACAATATAGCATGTCCTGACTGCGGGGTTTTGGAAACAAATTAAAACGTACAGCTCTGCTATCACTTCCAACATAAATGAAGACAGAAAACTAAACAGCAGTGACGTTTGTAGGGTTACTGAAGTTGTGGCTAGCTGGTATATAATGATGTGCTACGTGACCGCTAGCGACACAGCTATGTTAGCATAATATAAACAAGCTAACTTTTTTTCCACTCGATAAAAGTTAACTGAGTGTTCTCGGTGGTCAGGAACAAATGTAATCGCATGGCAGGATGCTGTAAAAGGACCAAACTTCAGCCAGGAGAACAACTGAGATAATCCATCCACTAATACGAGGTTAGTCATTCATATACTGCTGCATGGGCTGGGCTGTAGTTACATCCTAAGGTTTTAAAAACTGAGCTTAAATAAATGATTAGCGGTAATAAAAGCCAGTAATAAAAGGCAAATAGATAAAGTCAAAAGCTGTCTAATAAAGCAGCTCACCAAAATAAAGTGCCCACTTTAAACTACATAATATAGACTAAACAGTGAACACTACATATAGTATATTCATTACAGCATGTGATATTTGCTACTCCTTTTCAAAGTTTCCATGCTACCATTAAAAATGGAGATATGATAATATGATAAAAATGTGACCATTACAACCTATCACTTAAAAAAAAACATTAGAGAAGACCTTAATTTTGGTCTTTTCTAAAATATACAGTCTTTTAATTGAGCAAAGTACATTTCAGAGACCTTATTTAGCAATATTGAATCATGTGCTGCTTCTCTCCCACATACTCCTACATTTGTATGTTTCCTCATTTCTGCCTCTTCCTAAGAGCAGTGATGCCTTTTATTTTGTTCCTGTATGTATGAGTGTGTATACAAAATGTGTCTTTGTATCAGCACAGTGACGAGATAACATTGATCCTTCCATTATTTGTTTTGGTCTTTCTTCACATTTCCTAGAGCTACATGACTCTGCTCTTCCTTCCTTCAGTGTGCCACTGAAGTGTGATAATTATCTGGTCCATCCTATTTCTGTTTCCAAAACAAGCTCCCTAAACCTGTCCAGCTGTCATTTTCTCAGGTGGGTTGATATGCTTTTTTCTGTTTCTTCATCTCACTGAAATTATGCTGCATGGGATGGAAGGCATATTATCTGTGCTTCCCACATCCCTCAGTTCCACCTCATTTCTATCCACAAACTGTGCTGTCATTTATTGTGACTCCATAGCAGACAGCTCTGTGCACACAATTGTTAAACAATTTTCCATGGACACAAAACTGGGAAGAACATACATCACCTCCTGATCCATTTGGATTTTTTTTCTGCTCAATAAATATTGAACAGAGTATAGGATGAAGTGTATAACAATAAAAAGATCCAAGTGAAAGAAAGAGTCAGCAAAGCAGTGTTCAAAATTAAGCTTTTTAAAAAAAACAAAACAAAAAAAAAACAATATACATACATATATATATATATATATTTTTTTTTTCATAGAGGCTGGGGTCTATCACACCAGGAAAGACCCCAGGTGCAGGCTGTGTAAAGATGCCCCAGAGACAATCCAGCACATAACAGCAGGGTGCAAGATGCTAGCAGGCAAGGCATACATGGAACGCCATAACCAAGAGGCCGGCATAGTGTACAGGAACATCTGTGCCGAGTATAACCTGGAAGTCCCGAGGTCAAAATGGGAGATGCCCCCAAGGGTGGTGGAGAATGACCGAGCTAAGATCCTGTGGGACTTCCAGATACAGACGGACAAAATGGTGGTGGCTAACCAACCGGACATAGTGGTGGTAGACAAACAGAAGAAGACGGCCGTAGTGATCGATGTAGCGGTTCCGAATGACAGCAACATCAGGAAGAAGGAACACAAGAAGCTGGAGAAATACCAAGGGCTCAGAGAAGAGCTCGAGAGGATGTGGAGGGTGAAGGTAACGGTGGTCCCCGTGGTAATCGGAGCACTAGGTGCGGTGGCTCCCAAGCTAGGCGAGTGGCTCCAGCAGATCCCGGGAACAACATCGGAGATCTCTGTCCAGAAGAGCGCAGTCCTGGGAACAGCTAAGATACTGCGCAGGACCCTCAAGCTCCCAGGCCTCTGGTAGAGGACCCGAGCTTGAAGGATAAACTGCCCGCAGGGGCGTGCTGGGTGTTTTTTGTTTTATATATATCCAACAGCAAACAAAAGATGGCAGCTAACCAAAAGCGCTGGTAAAAAACAAAAAACATTTCTGCTAATAGAAGCCAAGAACTGCTCATTAGCAGCTCCATGCACGATGCAAAACACACTACCAAAGCTCACCACACTATTGTGCACCAATACTAACAACTCTTTTCTCTTTTCACAAGAAAAGAGCTAAAAAAACCCCAAAAAACAAGCTGTTACAGCGGCTTACAGCTCTCCATCTCAGAACTCCTTTATTTTGTTTAGTTTGTGCTTCCTTCATGTTTCTTTGTGCACTATTGGTTTTGCTTTAAACATTCGCTACACCCGCCAGGACCTCATAGACATCGTGACCAGCATCAGACATTTGTTTCGTGGGACTTTCATAACATGCACAATCCCAGATTACATAGCGAGACCACCGGGCTCTCCGTGGATTGTTATCAAGACTAGGTGGTGGCGCAGACGGAGGAGGGAGAGGAAGCAAAAGTGGGGCCGCAGGTCTGGCGTCTTGTTGAGGCTAAAAAATCAACCATACAAGCCACCCCTGCCAAGCCTATGTCTCTAAAATGCCAGATCCCTTGTGCATAAAACGGATGGTCTGGAATTACAACTAGTGGGAAATCGCTAGGTTCTTGACTGCTGTGCCTTGATTATCACTGAAATCCTGCTTCATCTGGGAATACCCGATGCTAGCATGCAGCGAGCACACTGCTCTGCTGGGACAGGACAAAGGACTCCGGTAAGAGCAAATGTCCCACCGTTTTCTTAGTCCTTGTGATAATGCTGGAGTCATTTCTTCACCAAGTATTTGTGATGATTTTCTTGCATTCTTAATGACTTGACTGCGTAGTTTGTAACCTAAGATCATCACACTGCCCCTCTGATTGTCTCCCCCCAAGCTTGCTTAAAAACACTTTTAATACTGTTGGGCCTTTTATCCTGAGATTAATTAATACGTCCCTTGCTACAAGCTGTGACCCATCATGTTTTAAACAAGCTATAGTTCACCCTTGTCTTAAAAAAGGCAACCTGGATCCAACTGTTCTGT